GCTAACTTCAGTGCCCATGACCTTAACCGCCACACTATACTATCTTATCATAATACAATGTGATGATCAAAGTAGTTAATGTATGTCCACATGCTTAAAGCACTTTATACACATTGTTTTTACCTCATTAAAGGGGGTATGACTAACCAACAGAGAGCATCGCGATATAGACATAAACATGGAGACTGTGAATCAGTGGTCCTGGGATTCTCGTCCTGATTTCTCCACCAATAAGCTGAGTGATGGTGGCAAGTCACTTAACATGTGGGGCCTACATTTTCTCAATATATACCAATACTTAAGAGTCTTTCTCACAGGAGACCCTGCTGCATGTCCCTCCCTTGTCCCGGCTTCTAAATGCCTTGAGTTCCCATACAAGATTATCAAAAAATAGAACATGCTCAAAAAAACTTCTGTAAACCATGGAAAGTGGTATCTTGTTTCTTTCCAAAGCTTTATTTACTTTGTTTTGTTTTGAGTAGGTGACGCATCTGCACTGTCCGAAAGTTAAAGCCCTATCACGAGGCACACACCGGGGAGCCCTGCTCCCTGCCCTGCACCTGCCTAACACACACTACTGCTCCAGGTCTCTCTACACAAGTCCAAGCCAAGGAATTATATTACTTTCTCCTTTATCTTACACAAAAGATGATACATTACATTCACTTCAATTTTTCACTTAATAATATCTTGTAAATCACCACACGTCAGTAGACAAAGAGCAATGTTTACTTTTTTTTCCCAGCTCTGTATTATACCATTGCAGGGTAGTACCATAGTTCATTTAACCTCCAGATGAAGGACACTTTGACGGCATTTAAGAAGTTTTTTTAATGTTTATTTATTTTTGAGAGACACACACAGAACACAAGCAAGGAGGGGCAGAGAGAGAGGGAGACACAGAATCAGAAGCAGACTCCAGGCTCTGAGTTGTCAGCCAGAGCCTGAGATGGGGCTCGAACCCACGAACTGTGAGATCACGACCTGAGCTGAAGTCAGAGGATCAATGGACTGATCCACTCAGGCGCCCCGAAGGGCATTATTAATATTTTGCTAATACAGACAGTGATGCAAGTAAGTAACACTGTGCACACATCAGTTCATATTATACACCTGTACATACAGGGCTGGCAGCATGGAGCCTGCTTGGGATTCTCTCTCTCCCTCTCTCTCTGCTCCTCCCCTGCTTGTGCTCGCTCGCTCACTCTCTCTCTCTCAAAATAAACATACATTTAAAAAAAGAATAAAAAATGAAGGTGAAATCCCGGTCAAAATTTAAGGTAAGTTTGACAGAAATGGATTCTTCAAAGAAGATCTCAAATCAGAAGCTATGCAACAGGGTAATATTCAGAAACTCCTGTAAATAACAACTGACACTGGAACAGAAAAATGTTTTTTGTAACCCGAAGCTTAATGTCAACTACATCCAAGGAAATTTGACAATTGCTTTCTAGTTACTCAGTCTTAATCCAAAGAAACCAATCGCCGCGCTACTGGAGACTGACCTTAAGCTACCGCACAACACCGTTGACTCAAGTTTTTTTTACTGTTATTTTTTCACTCTAGTCTCGTCTGAGTAGGAGCCAAGGGCAGGCCACCGTGAAACGAGCCACTTTGACATGCAGATGATTTCAAGCTTCTTCACAAAAAGACTCAGAAAGAAATTTTGACCTTCTTTCTTACCGCCTAAAAGAATAGAGACAGAGGACCTGCTTCAGGAAGAGTGGGCAACATAGATCCCTACCTTACAACACGAAGTAGGTATGGTGGACACGGACCTACAACAGGAAGTATGTATGGTGGACAGGGACCCGCATTACAACAGGAAGTATGTATGGTGGACAGGGACCCGCATTACAACAGGAAGGAGGCACGGTGGGCAGGGAGAAGCCTAGCAAGGCCCACTTGATCAAACTCCCACTGTTTCTGAATAGTCCAGAAAAACATGTTTACCAAATATTTATTTGGTAAAATTATTTTGGTAAAAATATTTGGTAAAACATTTTTTACCACATATTTGGTAAAAAAAAGAATAATTATTATTTTTCATCTTCCTGTGAATTGTTTTCTTTTCCTTTGAAGTTCCAGACCCCCTGGCCCCTTAAGGAGGACATATATACCTCATTTTGACGGTCTTTGAAATCTTAGGTCTTTGTGGATTCCTTGTACACACAAAATTAAACTTGATTTTCTCCTGTTAATCTGTTGCATGTTAATTAAATTCTTAGATCAGCTAGAAGAATTTTGAAGGGTAAAAGAAAAATTTTCCTCCCTAACACCAGCATATCAGTAACTCCAATTTAATACCACAAACAAATTAACTCCAACGACAAAATACACATTTAGTGTCTTGAACAAATATCACAGAGCAAAAACGGCAGAAAAAAAGATGAAAACAGAAGTGGAGGCTATCCCTCTGTATACTGAGTTAATCTCTTTTCACATATACACACTCATGTGCCCAAGGACACACTCATCGGCACATGCATCTCCTTCAGATTCCAAGAAGTGAAAATGTTTAGATTCCATGCTATTTCTTCCCTCAAATCTAAAGGTGAGGAAGTTCACTTTTGACAGAGTGAAACATAAAATATGTAGTACTTCTGTGCGTGTATATTATAAAAACTACTATACTGAAGGCCATCTAATATCACTTCTTTTGGTAACACCCCAAACCTCATTTAATTTAAATATAAACTGCACCTCACTCCACTCATCAGTAAAATGGTAATGATGCTGATAACCACCTCACAGGGTTTTTGTGAAGATCAAGTATCTCAAAACATGTAAAGCATCTAAAAAAGTGCTTCGAGCAGAGTAAGCACTCAATAAATGTTAGTTATTACTACATTTATTCTTTTGCTGGTAATACATGTCAGTGACTGTGGAACTTTTGGTAAGCATAATGGTAAGCACAATACACGTTACTCCTCGATGCTGCAGCAAGTCTTGAAGCCTCAATCAATGCATAGTGATCGAAATCAGCCCAGAAAGAGTGATGACGGAAAAGATCCTCTACTTGTTAGTGTTAATGCTGAACTTGTTTCATATTTAAACTCAAATGTGGGAGGAAAAACAATGGCCAATATATGTGTCCATGCCCTGATTCTTGGAACCCGTGAAATGTTACCGTATACGGCAAAAGGAATTTTTTCACATGTTACCAGAGGTAGGGACCTTAAGAATGGAGATTATCCTAAGCCCCAACAAATTACATGAGTCATTAAAAGTGAAAACAAGATGGGTGCCTGTTGTCCCACAAACATTTATGACTCAGTCTGGGCCTGAGGCTTAAGAAGACTTTTGAGCTATTGGCAAGAAAATCCAATCACAGGTATCGCTCAAGGGCAAGGATGAGTCTGTCTCCCGCCTCACACTTATGTGTATAAATGCTCTAAGTGGTTTTCTCATGCTGCGGGGAACTACATCTTTTGGAAACTCTTTTGGCAAAAAACAGTGTGGTCAAACTTAAGAAATTAAAAACATAACCTGTACAACATTTTTAAAACTGTAGAGTTGGAGGAACTTCAGACCACTTTCTTCAACTTAATGAAAATGAATGGACATTGTACAGTTTACCTCCTTTGATAATGATAGTGCAAATAAGGAGTTACTAGTAATGTATGCGACCACAATATGGTCCTGAGTGCAAAATATGCCAACACTGAAATATCAGAATTCTAAAAACATCTCAGGGGGTAGTTGACATATACATAAATCTAGTTAGAAAGCTTTGATCTACCTTGTGGAGTACATAAATTTTAGAATAAAGTAAATAACCCTTATTTTTATTTTCAATTACAAGTTGTTTTCTGTAAAAATTTTTAAGATTTACTGATAGTTTATCACCTAGTACACTGTCTATTTTTATAAGTGTTCCCCAATTAATTGGAAAATCAGATTATTTAACTCAGTATAGGTTCCTATACCTGTCAAATTTATTAAAGTCTTACTGAATGTTTAATGTATTAATTTCCAAAATAAGTATGCTACCAATCTCTCAATGTGATTGCATATCTGCCCATTTTCCCATGAAACTGTTTTATATATAATATATAACATACATATATGCTATGTTCTTAGACACTATAAGTTTAGAGTTGCTAGAATTCCAAATTAACTTAATGCTTAACATTTTTTAGTGACTCTATTTATCCTTTATAATGCATTTTTTCCTGGTCCATTTAATTGGGTTTAAATAAACTCTTAATTGGACAGCAATATAGCAAGGTACTTACCCTGTATTTTTCTATCCTTTTATACCTTTTACAATTTTGATCTCTTCTAAATGTGGTAGAGTCAGAATTTTTGCGTTTTATTTATTTTTTGATGTTTATTTATTATCGCTTCTCGGCCTTTTGGCTAAGATCAAGTGTTGATGTTTATTTATTATTGAGACAGACAGAAACAGAGCATAAATGGGGGAGGGGCAGAGAGAGAGAGACACACAGAATCTGAAGCAGGCTCCAGGCTCTGAGCTGTCAGCCCAGAGCCCGACACGGGGCTCGAACCCACAAACCGCGAGATCATGACCTGAGCTGAAGTCAGACGCTTAACCGACTGAGCCACCCAGGCACCCCAGAATTTTTACATTTTAAATGGGACACCTGGGTGGATCAGTCGGTTAAGTGTCCGACTTCAGCATCAGGTCATGATCTCGCGGTTTGTGAGTTCGAGCCCCGTGTCGGGTGCTGTGCTGACAGCTCAGAGCCTGGAGCCTGTTTCAGATTCTGTGTCTCCTTCTCTCTGCCCTTTCCCACTCGCGCTCTCTTTCTCTCTCAAAAATAAACATTTTAAAAAAAAGTCTGCCTTTTTGTTGGTATAGTTAATCCATTTATTTTTGATATATTGGGACTTGTTTTCAAGATTTCATTTTATTCTTTTAAAATATGTGCTTTCAAATGTTTTTTTTTCCTTCTTTTATTCTTTTGGAGATTAAATTATGTATTTGTCAAGACAGAGGCTAAGCTGTGGTAACAAGAAGTCTTTAAAACAAGTACCTGAAGTAGCATCAATGTTAACTTGTCCTCCATGGAACAGCGCAGCCATGGGTGGGGAACACTGGCGGACAGCTCTGCTACACGATGTCCTACGGGCGCGCAGGCCGGTACGCTGGCCCTGATAGTCTGTCACCTTCAATCTTTCGCTTCCATTTTGCATCTCATGTGATCATACTAGTTGGTGCCACTTTCTAGCTGGTGGGAAAGGAAAATAGAAAGGAAAATAAACGGCTTCCTTTAAAAACGGTTACTGATTGTGCTTGCGTGGCTCTGGCAAAAGCCATTACGGGGACGAACTCACCTGCAAAAGCAGCTGGGAAGCGTGGCCTCGAGCTGGCCAGCCACGTGTTCCGCTAAAACTCAAGACGTTCTGTTACCAAAAAGAAGAAAGGGAGAGAGGATCCTCTCAATAACACTTTCACCCTGATTACTAATTTCCTGTTTCATGTGATATATTGGCTCAGGCACGTAATTCTATTTTGCTCTTCTTTTTATCTTTTCAGGAGATCGTTGTTGTTATTATTTCACATTCAGTTTTTATTTAGATTTACCCATATGGTTGCTAATTTTTTTGTTTTATCATTTCTTCTTGCCTCTTAGTCCTTCCTTTTGGGTTCAAGTTCACTATTCTTGAAGAACATTACATTGGGTGTCTATCACTGCATAACAAATGATTCCAAAGCATAATGAACTGAAACAACATTTACCGTCTATTTCTGGATCTGGTGTGGCTTCACTGGGCCCACTGCTTGAGGGTCTCTCACAGGCCATAGTCAAGTGGCAGCCGGGGAGGCGGTCATCCCCTCAGGCTCGACCGAGGGGGTATCTGCTTCCCAGCTCACAGGGATGGTTGCAGACAGGATTCAGTTCTTTGCAAGTGGATCGCGGGACTAACGCCTCAGTTCCTTGCTGCTGTTCTTGGTTCTTTGTGAGGCGAGCCTCTCTGACCTGGCAGATTCCTCGTCACAGTGCGTAAGCCAGGAGGGTGGCAGAGAAAGAAAGCTATCAAGACAGAGTTCGCAGCCTTCCATAACATAACGCAGAAGTGACACCCATCAACCTCTTTCTGTTTTCAATTTTTAGGAACAAATCACTAGGTGCAGCCTGCCCTCACTCAGGAGGGGGGTATGACTCCAAGGTGTGAATCCAGCAGGTGGGAATTACTGAAAGCCATGGGAGAAGCTGCCTACCGTAGACACACTCTTTGTAAATTCTTTCAGTGAGTCAGACAGCAACAGCTCTATTAATTTCTGTTGGTTTAAAAATGTCTTCATTTCAGTCTCCTTTTCTTTCCTTGTGTGACTCCAAATAGAAGTATGTTAGACCATGTGGTATTGTTCAACAGGCCAATGATGCAATGTTCTTACGTTGTTCTAGTCTTTTTGCTCTGTGGATGTCACTCTGTGAACTTTCTATTGCTGTGTTTACAAGTTCACTGATCTTTGCTTCTGCAGTACTATTAACTTCTAACCTTTGTATATTTAGACATTTAAAACACTTCCAAATGGCTCACCATCAGAGGATAAAGAGAGCAGAAATCTGATAATATTTAACCTGAACAATACACGGGTGCCTATGTGGATCAACTGGTTAAGCATCAACTCTTGATTTGGGCTCAGGTCATGATCTCACAGTTCATGGATTCAAGCCCCGCATTGGGCTCTATGCTGATGGCACAGAGCCTGCTTGGGATTCTGTCTCTCTTTCTCTCTCTCTCTCTGCCCTTCCCCTGCTCTCTCTCAAAAATAAATAGATATTAAAAAATTTAAAAAAACCAAACTGAATAACACAGAAAACACCATGTTTCAAACTCTTGACACAGCTAAATACCCTGCTCAGAGGAAACTTAAATACTTAGAGAAATTACTTATTTTAAAAACATGATTGAAAATTAATGAGCTAAGTATCTAGATCAAGAAGTTAGAAACAAAACAAAGTAGTAAATCCCAAGAATGTGGAATGAAAGAAATTATAAAGATAAATAAGATTAGAAAACAGAGATAAAGCACAGAAAATCACTGTCCAAAGCTGTTACCTGAAAAGACCAATAAAACAAACTTTTGCCAAGATTAAAAAAAAAAAAGAGCCAGAAAATAATATAAGAAATATGAGAAGTAATATTGGTTATAGATATACCAGGGATTTTTAAAAAATGTTTTATTATTTTTGAGAGAGAGAGAGACAGCATGAGCAGGGGAGGGTCAGAGAGGGGGGAGACACAGACTCCGAAGCAGCTCCAGGCTCTGCGCTGTCAGCACAGAGCCCGACGCGGGGCTCGAACCCATGAACTATGAGATCATTACCTGAGCCAAAGTGGGACACTCAAGCGACTAAGCTACCCAGGCGCCCCCAGAGATTTTTTTTTTAAAAGATAAGTAAACACTGGGAAAAAACTTATGCCAGTAGCTTTTAAAAATTTAGGTGAAATGTACTATTTGTTAGAAAATTATGACTTTTTCGACTAGCTTTTGAATAAATAGCATGAGTAAACCTGTAACTACAGCAGACAAATCAAGAGAAAGAATCAAGCATGTATCCTCCCTTTCCCAGAAAGAGTCTGTTTCAGGAGATCTGAACAGAGGGTGAGGCCAAGTCAGACTTTTTTTTCTTTTCAACGTTTATTCATTTATTTTGAGTGAGTGAGGCATGGAGAGAGAGAGCGAATAGGAGAGAGAGAATCCCAAGCAGGCTCTGTGCTGTCAGTGCAGAGCCTGACATGGGGCTCAATCCCATGACTGAGACTGTGACCTGAGCCAAAATAAAGAGTCGGATGCTTAACTGACTGAGCCCCCCACGCGCCCCGAGTTTGCCTGAGGCAGTCTTACTATAGAAGTAGTCTAGATGATCAGTGAAGAAGGAATGATAAAATGAGAACCCCCGTATTTTACAACCCCAAGCAAACTGTTCATCGGGAGGGACTAACACGACAAAAAAAGATGAGCTGTGATGAACATTTGGGGGCATATCAAACAGTTTAAAAGTACATAGAAAGTAACCTTAGCAAAGCACTGGGACCTGATACCGAGCAAGTCACTTGCTCTGAGCTCTCGTTTGCATGTAACAAATCAAGTGTAAGCTGTGACGGAGGGATTTACAGTGGGCAGGTCGGCTCACGACGGTCGCCTGCATCAGAGAGCGGTTCCTCTGAGGACTGAAAGGAGCGCTCGGGGCGGGCGAGGCGGGAGCCAGCTGCAGGCCGCCAGGGCAGCGCGCACAGGAGGCGGTCAGGCCGCAGCCCTGCAGCCCTGAGGGGCAGTGGGGGGGCAGAGCTTGGGGGCTGCTGTGCATCTAACTGCATGGTTTGTTCTACTCTATTAACAAATGATGAGGAAATGTCCTTCAAGCATTTTCTCGATCGTGCAGGTATTTTAATAGGATCACCTGCTGGCAGTGAGGAGGGTGTCTCAGAGCAATTCTGATGAGACTGCAGGCGGGAAGATCAATTAAGACAAAGATGGTAGTTTAGGGGCGCCTGGCTGGCTCAGTCAGAAGAGTGTGCAACTCCTGACTTCAGGGTTTTGAGTGTGAGCTCCATGTTGAATGCAGAGATTACTTAAGAAACTTAAGAAAAAGAGAGAGACAAAGACGGCAACTTAAATATCAATTATATCTTTAAATTTAGGAAACACACCAATATTAGCCATATTAATAAATCACCTGGGTGGTGGGGGCACCTGGGAGGCTCAGTAGGTTAAGTATCTGACTCTGGATCTCAGCTTAGGTCTTGGTCTCAGGGTTGTGAGTTCAAGCCTCATGTTAGGCTCTGTGCTGAGTGTGAAGCCTAGTTAAAAAAAATTACAATTAAAAAATAAATCACATGGGGGTGGAGTAATTTCTTGAGATGAAACATACTTAGGTCTAATTTTGTGCTCCTTTTAAAATACTTAATTTCTAAAAACAAAAAACTCAAACAAAATTTAGATAATTTCTGACCTTATCCTTAAACTACACAGGCCGTGTAGAATCTTAAGCATTTATTATTGAATATGGAGTTGAAAAACATGACATATAAAGTACACATTAATAATATAAAAAAGTTACATGAATGACCTATGTAACTATACAATAAAACACAATAAAAATATCATTTCTTGTGTTTATGCCCTGGACTTGGGACCAGGGAGACCCAGATTTACAGTCTGGGTCTACAAGTCACTAGCAGTGTGATTCTATGGAAGGCACAACCACAGTGCACCTCAGTTTCCTCATCTGCAAAGCAAGTGGGCAGGGGCTGTTGTTTGCTGCTATGTCTCTAGCACCAGCATGGAGATTTACATACTGCATATCTACTCTACAGAGTTGCTGTGATATTGAAATGAGGTAAGAATTGTGCAAGTTCCCAAGTCAATTTTTTAAAAAAATTTATTTGAGAGGGAACACACGGGGGAGGGGCAGAGAGAGAAGGGAGAGAGAATCCCAAGCAGACTTCCACACTGACAGCATGGAGCCCCACCTGGGGCCCGGACCCATAAACCCTGAGATCATGATCTGAGCTGAAACCAAGAGTCGGACACTGAACCAAATGAGCCACCGAGGCGCCTCCTAACACGTTTCTTAATAGACTGTCATTAAATGGCTGCATTGTGCCTGGCCCTGTGCCAGGTGCTGGAACTATGACAACGAGTGAGACTGCATCCTTCCTCTAGGAAGCTTCCGTCTAGAGGAGCTATGGAAAGTATGTGTGATGGAAACCACAGTCCCGTGAAGTTCAGAGTAGGTGCTCAAGAAACACTGAATCTGAGTTTTTGTGACACTTTTCAGTTTACAATGCACTCTCGGGAACATTATTCTATTTGAAGTAAGAGGTACAAGTTTTATAAGAAAGGACAAAGATCTCAGGCATCTAGCAGAGGGATGATCTGTTGAGATAAATAGGCACCACTTTACGGGAAAGAATTTTAAATGAGCTTCAAAATATGGATGGATTTCAACCCGAGTGAAGGATGGAGGGGGAGGGGAGCTTTAGAAGAAAAGAAATACATAAGCAAAAGCTCTTCCTAGTTCTGTATTACTTTTTACAGTACCCGGGGACCACATGTTTATAAATCCTCTCTGGAATACTGCTGAATTGATATTTGTAATCTTTGGAATCCACCCTTATCCATCTTTCAAGAACTGGAGAGCACTTTTTTTCCATCTTTAATTTTCACTGACAGGCTTCATGAATTGTCGTGATTACTAAGGAAGTCACAGGACAATACTAACTTATTCATGACTATTTGCTGAACACTTGATGTACTCAAAGCCCTGTAGCTGGTAGTACGGGGGCTACTGAGATGAACAATGCATACAAACAACTATGCCACAAAGCAGAAAGCTGGAAGCGCCAAAACCCAGCTGAAGCTGCATTTGCAGAGAGAATGTCTACACTCCCCTGCTATCCCTGATTCCTTCCTACATTGAATTCATCTTACTTTGAAGATTTGATCTTACAAAAAAAAATTAATTGTTCTTTTACAACCTCCTCTTTCTGATTGTCAGGGTCTGTGGTGTCCTTTCCAGCCTCAAAGTCTTTTTATGGGAAAATTTAGGCAATTTGGGAGCCACAGGACCGCCATCTCTCTGCCTTTGGGTTCAATACCCACCGTACGTTGTCTCCAGAAACTTTACTCAGGTCTACCTCTTCTTGTTCTGAATATTCTTTGAAGTAACTTCTATTGTATTTAGCATAACTACAATATCCACCTGACTTTGGCCTTTAGCGTCTTGAAAGATGGCCTTAGGGAAGAGGGTCAATGCTTGTGACGCACTGTCTTGCTGGGCATATTTTCCTGTAACCCTCAGAATGGCCCTGGACAGCGGAACATCTTATCAGTGTTACAGTGTTTCTGTAACCTCTGATCCTTGAGAAGGGTAATTTATCCAAGGTCTCAGAGAGCTTAAGAGTGGCAGACCTTGGATCTGAACATTGCTATTGATGACCTCCAAGCCCCATGCCCTTTCAACCGCAACGTATTAATCCTGAGAACGTGTATTTTTTTTTTTTTAATTTATGTGTCTTCGTGGTTGTAGAAGTCTTTAGTAAAACCTCAGTTCAACCAACAGTCTCCAAACTCTTGGATTTCATGTACTGAAGCAGCTTTGTTTGCCGGGGATTCTTATCCGTGCTTTCCCCAGTATCCCCGGGTTTATTGATGATTGCGATTGTTTAGAGCTTTATACTCACAAGTGTCCCTCCGTGTATCACTTCCGTTGGCACTATGACACTTCCCACTGCCCTTGTTTGACAAGGCCCAGAGAGCCCTCTCAGCCTACTTGGAACCCCAGGATGACAACCTCCCACGTTGCTTTTTATTTTAATAGGAAGGAGGAGAAAGCAGGTGCGGAACACGGGAAAGAGGTGTCGTTACCTGGGGCTGTTTCGCCGCATCCTGCCGTCACGTTCAGCCATCCTTTAAAACTCGCCGTCCCGCCACCGGGGACCGCGTACCCCTGTGAAGACAAAGCCGGTCCGCGGGTGCAGCAACCCAGCGCCCGGCCCCGCCCCCGAGAGGCCACACCCGCCCGGGAGGCGTGGGGACGGGCCGCACGCGGGGAGCCGCGGGGTTTATAGGTCACCCGGAAGGCTCGCAGCCCGCGGCCGCCGCTCGGAGCAGGCCGTCGCCGAGCCCCCAGCCGCCGCGCTCCCGCCGCGGCCCCCGGCGTCCGGCCCCCGCGCTTGCCGAGCGTCTCGCGGCCGTGCGGCCTCCGCGTCGCTTCCGGTAGTTACCCGACCGCCGGCCATGGCCGCCGCGGGGGGCGCCCGGCTCCTGCGCGCCGCCTCCGTGGCCCTCGGCGGCGCTGCCCGTCGCTGTCTGCTCCACGCCGGACCCCGCGCGGGAGCCGGGGCACTCGGGGGACTCGGGGCGCCCCGGACGCTGAGCGTGTCGGCGCCGGCGCGGAGCAGGTGAGCGCGGGCCGGCGTGCGCATGCGGGCGGGGGTCCCCGGCGGCGGCGGCGGCGGCGCGCGGGTGCCGCCTCCCCGCCGCCTGCGAGCCGGGGGCTGTGCGGGCTCGCTCGCCCGTCGCCCGGCCTGGGCCCTGGCGCTGCTCGGGGCCGTGTGCGCCTGCATTCACGCCGCGGTTTCCTGCCCCAGCCCCCGACGCTTGCGGGGCACGGGGACCTGGGACCCCCGGGCCGCCCGGAAGCCGCGCGCTCTGCCGCGCTCGGGTCGGCTGTGCTTTGCCCGCGCGCTGACCTTTGCTTCGCCCGGAGCCTGCGTTGACCTTCATAAAATGCTCCCCGTCGATGTCCCGGCCCGCACGTTTCCTTCCGGGCCTTTCTCCTGCTCTGTCTGGCGTCCCGTCCCCGGTCCTTTGGCGGGAGTGTCCGTCTGGGGTACAGCCTCTCTGCAGCTCACGCGGGGCCGAGTTCCGGCCTTGCACGGGCAAGGCCGGGCTCGAAGCCAGGCCTCGGCCCTTAACGCCTGACTTCCTCCAGCACGATAAATCTCCGCTTCCCCACTTACGAAGGGGGCCTAACTCACGCTCAGGCCTCGCAGGGTTCCGTGAAGAAGACGGTAGTGAAGATAATACGGGTGGTCTTGTGTCAGGCACAAAGGTGAGGGCTCGGTGGATGCCACCTGTTGGCAGCAGCTACTTAGGCCCACAGCCTTGTGTTTTGGATTAAGTGTTGAAAGATGTAAAAAAAAAAAAAAATTTTTTTCCCCAAAATGTTTTGAAGATTTGTATTCTTGGGTATATTTGCGTTTCAAAGACACGATTTCCTTAGGTATATTGGAGATAAAATTTGCTCGCAACTTCAGAGCGCGGTGGCGCCTTCTGTAATCTGCAGATCTCAGAACAGTTCTCTGACCCCTTGCTGTATCGTAGCAGGAAGCAAGAACTGGCGGGAGAGAGTGCTGGGTTTGCTGCCTCTTCTCGTTTCTTCTTGCTAAGGTCCCTGAGAACGGGGCCTAGGACCGAGTCACTTCCCCCCCCCTTTAATACTGTTATCTAGTGCGTTGCTGGGTACATTTTTGTTGCATGAAGTGAGGGAGATCGTGGAGAAGGCAAGCTGGATTTATTTGCCCCTATTTCCTTGACACTTCCCGGCGTCTACCTCTCCACATGGGTGTCTTTCTGCAGTGGATGCATTCTTGAAAAATGGTGTATACATGAGGACACGTTATATCGAACTTATTCACGAAACTAGTGTTTAAAGGGAACACGAATGCTTTTGTAAATCGCAGTTATCTCTCCCAAATTTGTGAAGCTTGAACTTGGATATAGCAGGTTGTCTTAAAGGGAAGCACATCTGTTCTTTTGCCTCCTAATCCTGCTTTCCTCCTCTTTGGCACAGTTTCAGTTGATGGCCATGTGCCTTGTATCACAGACTTTGGAACTAACAACTAGAGTTTCCAGCTCTTACTGTCTGAGATTTGTGTTTTCCACTATGGTTATAACTGTCCACATGTGGCTCTTTAAGTTTAAGATAACATCCCTTAAGTACATTTAAAAGATTCAGTATCCCATGCTGGCTGCGTTTCAAGCATTCAACAGCCACATGTGGCCAGTGGCTACTGTATTGGACATTGCAGGTGTAGACCATCTCTGTTAGTGCACAGAGTTCCACTGGACAGAACAGCCTAGAAACTGTAGTTCTCTCTCCAAAGTTTAGCATTTAGTTTATCTGTAATTGAGAGTTGGGAAAAAAGTCTTTTGCTCCAAAATACTCCAACATAATACTTCCTTTTTTGTAGCGAGTTAGGCTCCAAAGGGCTTTCACAACAATTATTGAACTTCATGCTTAAGAAAATCCTGGGAGGTAGGTGGGGTAGGGAATAAAAATATATTAAGTCGCTGGCAAACTAGGAACATGAGTCAAAGCAGTTTTAGTTTGCACCATAAGAGTTGATAATTCTCTAGCCAATAGGGTCATCGGGAAGAGTTATGGAGGCTATAGAAGTAGGGAGCCCAGCCCGGAAGGGGCCCTTTTCTTGGGCCAGCTGCCCCAGGCCACCCTCCCCATATGGTGAAAAGGTAGGCGTCAGCAGCTATGAGAAATTCCCTCCCTGTGACAAGTCTGTTAAGAACTTTACCACCACAACCCCAGACAGCTTTGTTAAAATACCTGCTGTGGTTGAGCACAAGAAATGGCTGTAGTAAAAGGTAACAAGTGAAGAAAATAGTTATTTGTGCTGATTAATTGATGATGGGAGGGGATTTAGAAGGATTGTGTTTCTTGGTCAGTGCATGAAATCTTATCTTTTGCTAGTTCTTGGAATTGGGGGGGAGAATCTAAGATCCACCAAAACCAATTACAAACGGATAAAGTTATTTGGATAAAGTACCTGTGTAGAATGCTTTAAGGAATAAAATGTTTCCACTAACATATCTTTAATTCTCCTTCACCAGCTTGGTGAAGTCACCAATGTCCCCATCTCACCCATAAGAGGGTGGCTTCCCATGGTCATCTAATGTGTGTATGTGAGAACCAGAGCTAGAATCTACGTCTTTGGATTCTCACATTCCATACACTTTTGACTGCAGGATTACCTTTCCTCTCTCATTTCTGCTTCCTCACCGCTCCTTTGACAAACCTATTATTTCTCTTACTGAGCAGTTTTTTTTTCCCCTCCTGGGACTGTATACCTTTAATACATAGCAGGTGCCTCTTAGCAACAAAACAACTTAAGCCGGGGCTCCTGGGTGGCTCAGTTGGGTAACTGCTTCGGCTCAGGTCATGATCTCACTGTTGGTGGGTTCGAGCCCCGCGTCGGGCTCTGTGCTGACTGCCAGCTCAGAGCCTGGAGCCTGTTTCGGAGTCTGTGACTCCCTCTCTCTCTCTGACCCTCCCCTGCTCACGCTGTCTCTCTCTCTCTCTCTCTCTCTCCTAGAAATAAATAAAACATTTAAAAAATAAATAAATAAATAAATAAACATTAATTTTTTTTAAAAAAAAGGACTGAAGCCTTAAATACAAGTTATTAATCAATGTGAACTCTCTTAAGTATTTTACGTACATTATCAAAACTAGAATATAAACGTTACCTGGAATTTACAGAAGAGGAGTTCGATGTAAAAGACATTTCTGTGCTGTGAACTTCTAAAGTTGTTTTTGTTTTTTCTTTTTGCTTCGAAAAGAAGTTGGAGACAACAGGTCCTTCTAGAGAGCCATTCTCTTGTCTCTCTCTCTCTGTCTCTCTGTCTCTCTCTCTCATACACACACACACACACACACACACACACAAGTGATAACTTTTTAATTCATAGAATTCTCCTTTTTTCAGCATTGAATTATCAGGGAGGCCATTATCTGAAAGGGGCTTTAGTTGCCTCATTTCTAAAATAAGGTAATTGGACTTGATAATTTGCAATATATTTACAGCTCTGAAATTATATAATTCTAGTTTTTACTTACAGTTTTCTTTGATGGATTATTACCCTCTATTGGCAGTAGTGAAGATTGCAACGAATTATTTTAAGCTGAAGTACATCTTTTCGATTGTGAGGTCAAAATCAAAATGACCAGCGGTAGATGATAGGCATCTAGTTGCTATATAATTTCTTTTTCCAGATTTTGGAGTGATGTTTTGAGAAGGAAAAGAAATTTAAGTTTGCCAACTCTAATGGGTAATACGGTATCCTAGAATAAAACACGCAAGGAGGGATCATATTTATCTTCCAACTGATTGAAACAAACAAAAACCTTTTGCAGTCCCTTTGATTGCCGAGTACATGATGTGGACCAAAATGAGATGTGTAAACGCTCCGGAAATAGACCGCTGCCTCCGTGCAACGGTGAACAGCAGATAGCTATGCTCACCGATAGCATGATTTGCTTTTGCAAAGCTCTCCACGGTGTCGTCTGCTGGGGACACTACGTACACATGATGCTTTTCAGGGAGCCGTGTGAGAACAAAATAGACTTCCTGACTGATGATGATGATTGCTCCCAATGATTGCTGCATGGTGTCACAGAACTGCAACCTATGACTCTAACCCCTGGGGAGACATGGCAGGCGGCCTTCATAGTGATGTCCGTGGCCCTTTCCACAGGGTGGTAGAGCTTCCTTTCTGGTAAATGGGAAGATAGCCATGCCTCTGATTTGTGATGCCTTTTTCTCTAAACCGTGGAAAGGAAAGAACACTACCAAAAGCTTATTTGTGTACATGCGCTCATTGCGTGCATACACCCCCCCACCCCCCATTTTTTTGACCTTACAAGTTCCTAAAACAATTATTTTAAAGTATCTTTTGAAATGACTAAAAATAATCAAGGACTGCTTCCTTTTCCAGCTCAGAAGATAAAATAACAGTCCACTTTGTAAACCGCGATGGGCAGACGTTGACAGCCAAAGGGAAAGTCGGTGACTCTCTACTAGATGTCGTGGTTGAAAATAACCTAGATATTGATGGCTTTGGTGAGTATGGAACATTTGTTAAAATTCATAAGTGAAACCATTCAGTAGATTTAAACTTTTTTTTTTTTTGCAGAATTTTAACACTTAGCATGCTAAGATAAATATTAAAATTTAGGATGTGTTATATTCTCTTTTGTTTTTGTTTATTATTTTTTTATGTCTTTATTTTGAGAGACAGAGAGCGAGCGGGGGAGGGGCAGAGAGAGAGGGAGACACAGAATCTGAAGCAGGCTCAGGCTCTGAGCTGTCAGCACAGAATGTGATGTGGGGCTCGAACTCATAAACCAAGAGATCATGACCTGAGCCGAAGTCAGATGCTTAACCAACTGAGCCACCCAGGTGCCCCTAGACTTGTTTTTTAAACTTCCATTTTATGGACGAAGAAACCAAGGTTCAGAGCAGTTATTTTTCCCTGGGTCACACAAGGAGTAAGTGCGAGGCCCAGCACTCAAACCCAAGTCTCCAACTCCCAAAGCTCTGCTTTTTCCTTTATGCCGTTTTCCTAAGAAGCGTCTGTCCTGTGTGAACCCCTGTCACAGAAATTAGGTGGTGAAATAGTTGATACGGTTCTAAGTTTAAGGAGTTTTTAAGTCTCAAGCGGTGATTCTTGGCTGGGATTGAGTTTCAGAGTGTCTACAGAACTTGTAAAAGTGCAGACATCTGTGTTCCATCCTAAATACTACGAGGAGAAAGGGAAGCTGTGTAGGTATATTTTTACAAAGCTCCACATGGTTCAGATCCATACCGTGGTTACGAATGACTAATTTAGGGAAAGAACTCATTGGTAATTTAAGTATAATACATATTCTATAATTACAATCTGTAATTCTCTAATTCATCTTCCTCATGCACTCACATTCAGCCGCACTTTTTACGAAACTTGGTTTCTCTGGATTATTCTCTCACAGATGAAAAGTAGTACAAGCACAGTCACTGAGCATAGACTCTGGAATCAGACCCATTATGGTTTGTAAGCCAACACTGACTCTTAACTGGCCGTGAGGCCTGGAGCAAGCCACTTGAAAGGCTGCAGGCCTCTGTTTCCTCTTCTGTAAAGTAGGATTATAATAGTTCTAACCTGATCAGGTTGTTAGAGCTGAAAGGGGATACTGGAGGTGAAGTGCTTAGCGTGGTGCCGACCGTGGTGAGCATAGCGGGACCCGCGGCACTTAAACGTGGCCCCTCTCATCCTCTCACCCCCAGTTCTGCAGCCGCCCTAACACTCGGCAGCTTCAGAACTGAGGTGGCTGTGACCACCAGCAGCCTTGCAGCCACCGCAGGGGCCCGTGGGGCTTGAATCTCTCAGGAAGGCCGATCACCTGTGTCACAGCTTTCTGGAAGAGCTCCGGCCCACGGGGCTCCCTGACCTGTGTCAGAGATTACTCTGTGGAAAAAGATCTACCCCAGGACTTCAGTCCACAGCAATCATCGGTGGTCGTTTAGCACAACTGCTGAGGCTGGGAAACCCCTGGCGCAAACGGGAGCCTGGCCGAGACCTTAGGGGGAAGAGTTGGGGAATGGGATGTGGGGCGTGGGCTCTGAACTGCCCTGGGGACCCAGACGGCCGTGTGCGGCGCAGGACCCTGCTCACGTGCAGGAAAGGTGGGTCAGGGCCCTGGCCTGTCCCCCTGGCAGCCCGGAGTCCTGGGCAGGAAGGCAGCTGCCTGAACGCGGGAGGGGCGCTGAATCACCCGCCGAGCTCGTCAGCCAGAGGTAGAAGAGGTTCGGGTTCCAAGCATTGAAGGAAACCCTGCGCACTCATCTAGCTGACAGAGCTGACCGAGCAGAGACACCAGGCGCATGCACAGCAAGGGAAACAGACTTTAGAGAATTAGAACAGGAAAGTCACTGGAGAAACAAACAGCAACAGCAACAAACCCAGGGCAGAGGGCGGGGATCCTGATGTGCATAGTCACCACATTGTATTATGCACAGTGTCCATTTGTAATGAGAAAAAACATTCGAGGCATCCAGAGAAACGGCAAAGTGTGGCTCATACTCAGGAAAAAATAGTCCGTAGACACTGTCCCGAGGAGGCCTAGGTATTGGACTTAAAAGACTTGCTGTCAGCTAGTATAAAAGTTCACCGTGCCGAAGGAAACTATGTGGCAAAAACTATGTCATCTTTACATCTGACGGTGGAGGCCACTACCGCTCTGAGTGAGGATACATAGCTGAAATAATGTTGGTTGTGCCCTTGAGAAAGTTATCTTTTGAGTTCTGAGACAGCTAATGCGGAGGCTGCGACCAGCGCATCTATACCTGTCTCCACAGAGGCAGCTGTGTATGCCAGGCGTGCGTACGGGACTCTTTACCAGAGATGCTCATAACGGCAAAAATCTGAAACCGCCGAATGCCCATCAGCAGAGGGCTGGTGTGTGGTCACACAACGGGGATATTATATGTCTGGGTTAGAAAAAGTCTCCAGAAGGAGTCTTCAAAACAAAGATCAGTGGTTACCTGTTGGTGGGAGGGAGATTTCCATTATAAAACTTTGTATAGTTTCTGAGTTTTGAACGGTGTGAATGTGTTACCCATTTTATTTTTAATTAGTTAATTTTTAAAGAAGATAGAAGTTTATTGCGTACAGCGTAAGGGAGCAGCGGGCAGGACAGCACTGCTGTCTGCTCGTTACCTGTTTTGAAATGTATCTAAGAAGAAAATCAGAGGAGACAACCTAAATGTCTCATCCTGGGACTTAAGTCATGACTTAAGTCCACTTATACTATGTGCCCATTACACATAATTCAGTGTATTTATAATCAGGTAGATGCTTTTAAGTGAAAAACACAATGTATTTAGTTGCTTTTGATTTTTCAGAATGCACTGAAAAAAATCTTAGAAGATGCTCAGTGTTGGTTGTCTCTCCGTGATCTGACTGTGGGTTTTTCATTTTCATTCCACTTTCCTCTGTGTTGTAACTTTTCCTGTAGTGACTTACCTCAGTACCTGGAGTCAGTCACTGACCTTCCCTCTGCCTCACTTTCATTATCTATCAAATGAGGATAATAATAATAATACACACTTCATAGGACTTGTATAATGGTCAAGTTAATATGTGTCTTCAGAATAATATCTGGCGTGAGAAACGTTTGCATCCGTCTGTTTTATTGTACACAAATCCGTACGTGTGGTGAGGCACCACCTCACGTCCGTGAGGATGGCTGTCGTCACAGAAACGGGAGAATGACAAGTGTCGGCAGGGGTGAGGGGAGACCGGAGCCCGACGCGTGGCCGGCGGGAAGGTGCGGCGGTGCAGCCGCTGTGGAGAGCAGTCTGGCAGGGCCTCGCGTACTTAAACACAGAACTACCATGTGGCCGGGCAGTTGCATTCCTAGGTAGAGTTCCTACCCCCCACCCCCTGAGAATGGAAAGCAGAGACTCAGACAGATGCCGTGCGTTCATAGTAGCACCGTTCTAAAGGTAGAAAGGCTAGAAAACAACTCAAGTGTCCATCAGCAGACGGTGGAGGAACAAGATGAGGTTTATACAGACAACGGAGTGTTCCTGAACCATAAACAGCAATGGGATTCTGACACATACTGCAGTGTAGATGAAGCTTGAGAACATTGTGCTAAATGAAATAAGCCAGACACAGAGGGGCAAATACTCTGTGATTCCACGCATGTGAGGTACCTAGAATAGGGCTGTTCATAGAGACAAAGTAGACCAGAGGTTCCCAGAGACTGATGCGAGGGAAGAATCTGTTTGGGATGATGAGTATCTTCCGGAAATAGAGAGTGGTGATGCTTGTACAGCATAATGATTGTACTTAATGCCACTGAATTGTATACTTACAAGTGGCTAAATATGGTAGAGTTTATGTTACATATATTTTTACTTGTAGTAAAAAATTGCAGTAAAAATAAAATCTGTATAAATACAGAAAGTAACAGTTTTATCTGATTAAGAAAAACAAGGCATGTTATTTATTGTAGAAAACTTTGGAAAATTTAATAAGCATGTAAAATAAAATTCATCCATTATTCTACTTTCCATAACCACTAATAACTTTCTGTGCATTTAAAAAAATTATTTTATCTGTTTATTTTTGAGGAGGGAGAGGAGCAGAGAGAGAGGGGGAGAGAAAGAATCCCATGTGCAGCGCAAACTCATGAACTGTGAGATCCTGACCTGAGCTGAAATAAAGAGTCGTATGCTTAACGGACTGAGCCACCCAGGCATCCACACTTCTATGCTTTTTAAAATCCCTATTGTGGTGACATGTTATGCAAACATGAATGACATGAAATAAGGGCAATAGAAAAATATGAAAGTTTCATATTCTGTGCCATGTTTGAAATTGTATGCATCTATCCACATTTTTTTTTAAGTTTCTTTATTTTGAGAGAGACCGAGAGAGAGCACCAGCAAGGGAGGGACAGAGGGAGAGGAAGAATCTCAAGCAGGCTCCGCTCAGTCACTGTAGAGCCTGATGTGGGGCTCAAACTCTCCAAAACTGTGAGATTGTGACTTGAGCCAAAATCAAGAGTCAGACCCTTAACTGAGTGAGCCACCCAGGTGCCCCATCCACATTTTTAAAAGGTGAAGAGATTCATTTAATTTTGAAGCTGACAGTCATGGTGAATTGTAGACTGTGTTTGTGCTAATGTAATGCCATATGGGGGAGCCACGTTAGCAGATTGAAATGTTTCCTGGGGCCCCTGGGTGGCTCAGTCCGTTAAGTGGTTATGCATCTGACTCTTGATCTCAGCTCAGGTCTTAAGTTCAAGCCCCGCCATTGGGCTCTGCGCTGGGCGTGGAGTCTACTTAAAAAAAAAGGGGGGGGGGGTTCCTGATGTTTGACTGGAGCAGACGGACCATACACTGACTCATCAGGTGATGGTATAGTGCTGAAATACACCCCCTGCCTCCCCCCAACCAGTAACTTTGGGATGGAAGTTAAATGTGACCTGATGCTAACAGTTAAACAGTCCTCTGACAGTCTGTGCTGTTAATTTAGGAGTGGATACAATACAGGCAGAGGTGCTTAGAAAGTA